GGTCTGTAGCCTATAGGGGTTCTCCGACAGGTCTCGGGTAAAAAATTTGGGAACTGTGCATTTGCAGCTCGAGCGGAGCCCCCGGCATTGAAGGAAGGGGGACTAAGAATCCTTTCGGGTGGCTTGTCAGCACGCCTTCTATATGGTAGCAAATTTTCCTCCTTCCTGAGCGGGAGTTGAGATTGGGGTAGTGTCTTTACGGGGCCGGCCCCCCCCTTTTTTTTTCGGGGACTGGAATTGAAGTTTCGGGGGGGGGGGGGGGTACTTATGTTTTGCGTGGCCTGGTGTTGAACCATTCATTGATCACCCGTGTTCGACAAGACGGAGCGTTGGACCGATCACCGATGGCCAATCTTCCCTTCCTACTTTGGGTAGGTCCAGATGGAGGGACTGAATCGAGCTGGCGCCTTCTTCATTCAGATGTGCGGTGTGGTCAGAAACCAACCCATCATCAAATGCCTCACTTAACTAGCGACCACTAGTCATATCCCACATGAGAACATTTTAGAGCTAACCAAGCTGAGGACCCTCGCCATAGACAGGATGGGACCTGAAGGGGTCCAAGGGCTCTCTCTTCACATACACTTTTGGTGCTCGAGGGTGGTATAATACCCGGACGTGGGAAATGCATATGGTACGTTTCTTGATACAATTGTGCTGGTGTCGGGTGATAGTGTGCAACGAGCGATGGCTCCAAAATGAGAAGCATAATCGTTTTCACACCAGAGTAGTTTCCCCGAGCCCACCACCCCCAACTTTATCGCGATCGCCCCTGTCGCCACAGGCACCATTTCACTCCCTCAGCCATCACAATCACTGCTTTTTATCACCGACATTAATCTTCACCACCCACATTCGCCCAGCCACAGCCACGACCTCGTCAACTGACCAAAACGCCACCCCAGCATCACTGACAACCACCTTGGCCAACCACATCCACCGTACACAGCCACACACGACCTCATGAACTAACCAACACCACTCCCAAGCATCCACCTTCACCAACCCCATCTAGCTAGACACCGTACTCAGCCATCCGCACCCACCACCACCACGACCAGCTGCACAGACACCCACGGCCACCACCCTCTCGCGAACCAACCAAAAACCACCACCACCACCACCCCAGCCTATCGCCGACAGCCACCTACCGAGGGGAACTCCCTCTCCATCACCGCCTGGAGGTTGAGCCTCTTGTCGAGCTCGGGTCGATCCACCTCCTCGTCCTCCCCCACGCTGTTGTCCCCCTCGACATCGCCACCGTCGAAGTTCTTCTCGTGCCTCAGGGTCCAAGACTCCTGCTTGCCGTCGACGGGGGGGTTGTAGTCCTTCACGTAGCCGCTGATCACGGTGTCCCCCCACCGCTTCAGGATCTTTCGGCCGACAAGCCGCCCCCCCTCTGACCCGCCACCCGCTGCATCATCCACACGCACAGAAACAAATCAATAGTCGGGTTTGGTCAAATCCCGCTATCAGAAGCATGACGTCGAATCATGAACCGGTCGGTTAGCGTGGGGAGAGGCTGGGGCTGACAACGAAACTGATGTTGACGAACTGGCGCGACTGAATAAGTTGGTCGGTGCCTGTGTAGCTTCGTCGACGCATCGTCGTACGAACGAGAACCGAACAGGGGGAATGAAAAGGGTAACAAACACGATAGAGACGCCATCGCACACTGTACTCCCTATGCATAGCACAAACACCAAAAGAGCCAGTGTCCACAGCCTTCAATAGGCAAGCGCGCACAAGGTAAGAACGACGACCGGCCTGACATAGACTTCAAGTACAGTAGAGGTAGTAGTAGTAAGCAATAGTCAGGGCGCACTGGCGAGCACTTCGCGCATGACCAAATGTAACGAGCGTGGGCGCAGATCTACAGGATTCTTTACTAAGAGTGGGGGGTCAGGTTTGTGGTTTCTCGTAGTCCTGGATTTATCTACTATGCCCACGCTATGCATACGTATACTTGCTTCCACTGCTGTAGTGGTAAGTGAAACATGGTATTTCGTTGGACGAACAGCGATGAAGAAGCAAGTCACGTAGGTTGCATTGAATGTAAAAGATGATGCTCATATTCAAGACTTCCAGCACTTCCATGTCGACTTTATCACGAGCAAAATGGTCGCCCCGGTCGTGATATGGTGCAGGTGTTTGACCTTGTGACTCTCTATTTAGATCTTTTGATTGTGGGTTCTATTCTCTCTCTGCTCTGGATCGAGAAAATCGTGAACTAAGGGTGGAAGCGCATGGTCATGATGAGCAGCAGCAACGGGAAGACGGAGAGAGAGAGAAAAAAGAGCAGTGGCCAAAATCGGGTACACCCGGTCCAAACACGGCCATAGTCGGGTACCCCTACAAGATGCTGCTGGGAGCGACCGCATGCCACCATCTGATTGGCCGATGCCCGCCCCTACCCGACCTTGACCGCCTTTCCACCGGGAGGGGTACCCGGTTTTTCTGTCCCCAACCCGAAAATGGCTGGGCTGTTCGACCAAAACCCATCCACACAACCACGGGTCGGACGCACACCACTCGCCCTCGTTTGTCGCCAATAATGAGAAAGTAGCGGGAGGGAAAGAAATATGTCTATTCTTGAGATGAGTCCCGTGTGTGTCGCATATCGTGAGGGGGGCATTCATCCAGCTCTTTCTTCTTCTCGATCATTTGCACAGATCGCCAGCCGTTTCCCCCAAGGGAGACTTCCACCGCCGGCGGGGGATCTGCCTCCGTCCGCCGGGCCGTCAGAAGGTCCGAATTTGAGGGCCAGTGGTGTGCGTCCGACCTGTGGTTGTGTGCATGGGTTTTGGTCGAACAGCCCAGCCATTTTCGGGTTGGGGAAAGAAAAACCGGGTACTCCTCCGGGGGGTGAGTAGCCAAGATCGGGTGCACCCGGTGGAAAGGCGGTCAAGGCCGGGTAGGGGCAGGCGTCGGCCAATCAGATGGTGGCATGTGGTCGCTCCCAGCAGCATCTTGTAGGGGTACCCGATTATGGCCGTGTTTGGACCGGGTGTACCCGATTTTGGCCACTGCTAAAAAAAAATGTGGTGCCTCTCTTGCTCTCGTAAGCTTGCTGTAAGCAAGTATGTGACCGTTGTACATGTAGACTTCCGCCCAGAGAAGATGTGACCACAACACGCACACACACCGTACACATGCACACAACACAGCTAGCCGTCTCATCTCCTCCCCCTCACCTCTCCCAGAAAAACCAAACGGGAGGGTTCGCCCGAGAGACAAACGGAGAAGGGGCGGCCGGCAATCTATCGATCGCTGTGTACGCTACTGCTGCTGTGCATGTGTACAAGCTTTTTGCCTTAACCAACCGAAACTTTGGCCCATGCAGGCGCACACGACCAGCACAAGAGCGAGGTACGCAGCAACAACGCGTCCCGTTCCCTGTTCCCTGCCCCGGTGATCTACTCATGGGGCATGGGGTATGGAGCAGCCTCATCTTCTGTACGTGTGCCTGTGGGTCGGTACATGACTGCTGTTGTAGACGGGGTCGCGCCGCTCTCTCGATGATCTCGAAGCCGGAGCAGAAACAGCAGCAGTTGTACAAACTGCATAGGTGCTGCCTTATCACCATCGAAAAACAAGCAGGTCCCGACAGCGGAGCAGCTGCGAAAGGTCTTGCCAACAGACAGACAAGCACACCGCCAACACGCTTGTGCAAGCACCTCCTCTTTGGGTCCATCTCTCCCCGACACAGCCTACTACAGCAGTACTCCAGTAGACCGCACGAGACAGCTCGCTCTTACAAACGCCCGCAGTACAACAGCAGTGAGTGCGTACCAAGGGGCACAAAGCGCGAGGGAGGAATCAAATCAACCAACCTTTGTTTGGGATGGGGTTCATCCACACCTCATGCCTCTTGCTCAGCGGCTGGCTACCGGTTACGCGAACAACGTTCGCTCCAAGGGCGACACGCTAGAGTCGCTAGACTCGAGCATGAGATAGAGGCAGCCCATACCAGAAAAGAAGCAACACCGAGACCTGAGTTGAGCGAATTCGTTATGGCACCCCTACGAAGCCTATACCTTCCGCCGCCGAGCTTGTCTCGGAGTCGTCATCCTTACCAGCTCGAGACGGAGAACGCCGCCCGTTCATGGTTGTGCTGGATTCCGTTCCACGCTGCAGGTGCCAAGCTCGCGCCTCTTTTGTGGTGAAGCTGTGGGATGGGATGTATGTACCTCTCGGTGTGAGCGCGGGTGATGTTGCTGTTATTTTTGGCGCCATTTTTGTGTACCTTATTCTAGACCCCACACTACAAAGGGTATACACTTGGTCCTTGAATAATACATTTATTTGGTGGTACGCTACTGCTGTATTGCACGACCCAGACTGCAGCAGAACACACAAACAGAACAAACTCCGGCGCGACACACACTGAGAGAGAATCTTATCCTCTCAGTGAAGGGAAAACATCGTGCTTGAGAGACGTCAGAACGGTTTTTGGTGCGAGTTGAACAACGACGAAAACAATACGGCAAAACACTTGAGTAACAAGATCGCGTTCGTTCGTAACATGTCGCCAAGAACGGCTACAAAAAGGTGAACCATGATACACGACATCGTACGCATACAGCAGGTGATGCGGCATGAAGCCATGCCCTTCCGGCGGCTTGTGTAGATGGGTGGGTGGACTACGGACAGACAGATGGTGGCCAAGCGAAGGTGTCTTGCTACAAAGATGACGGGATGTGAAAAGATGAGGAGGGAATCAATCGTCCTGCACAGACGATGGGAGATTGTACTCTTTAGGATTGTACCCTTTATGAAGGTGATCTCCAAAGGGAAACTTGGAAACGACAGTATGCGTGTGGTGTTAGTTTTCGTGCAGACTCCAAACAAGCAGAACAAAAGGGTGTGTACCTTTCTACTTAACTAAGTAATTTGGACGTATCCAAAACAAACAATAAAGGAAAGCGCACGTAAGTGCACTAATTTTGCTTGACTGCCTTTCGACGAGAAGGAGAGTCGGAGCGCATGGTTCCGAGGCTCACAACAACTGAAGAGAGAGGTCTACGCTGAGAGCAAACATAAATGGTGTAAAAGTCTTCAACTACAAACAGGGTGCACGTGGCTACCAACAAACTGATCGATCGGAGGGTCACAAAAAACAAGACAAGGGCCAGAAAAACTCACAATCACACAGAGAAACGCCATATGCAGCAATACGTCAGTTAGATCTACTCTACATAGCATCTCAACCTGTGAACAGTTCACCAAGAAATTACCGTTGATTGGCAAAACGACAATACACGATGGCCATATCCATATACCATTTGAAACGTCAAAGGTGCCATCTGCCGTACGTACAAGTGGTGTTTCGCGGCATAGGTCAGGTACACGAATCTTTCAGCTCGCGACACTTGTTGCACACTCCCCCCCTGGAATCACAGGAGAGACCAATAGACTATTATTATTGAGACCGCTTTCCTTGCTCTTCAGCCGACAAAACGCACTTCGTCGTTTGTTGTGCCTCAACGACAAACTAGACCCCCCCTCACAGCCAGCAAACCAACCAAACTACGCGCGCGCGGGATGCATTCTATACCAAGATCGAGCGATGTTCATCAGACGGGCAACTGCACTACTACGCACTCTTCGCAGCTAATGCTGCAGCTTCTGGGGCACGACCAGATCGCAACCACCCCCCAATCCATCCCCAGCGTTCTCAACCGCTCGCGCTCTTCGACGCTGGGGGTGGGCATCATCGTGGTTTCGTTTCCTTCGTCCTCCTCGCCACTTACACCTATCCCCGCCAATACCCCGCTTCCATCCCCTTGTGCGACTCCGTGCTCGTCGGTTGACCGCGTTGATGCAGCACCCTTCGGCTGAACCGCCACAGCCGAGGGAGTTATTGACTTCAAAGTGTTATTGTTGTCATGGCCGTCAGCTACTTGCGAAAGCGTGGAGATCTTCTTTGATTCAAGGCCAGAAAAAGTAGCGGGACTTCCCCCCTCTAGGCTGCCTGTTTCTCGTTCGGCGAGGTCGTTCACTTGCAGCTGCAACAACAGGGCCGGCATGAGCTGCATCTCGAACACCCGGGTAGCACCTGGGAAGGCGTGCGGTGGTCACGTTTACATTGTGGTAGTGGCAGAGGACGCCGCGAATACGTAGGCGTGTGATCAGCGCGAGTTCCAATCTTTAATCGACATTGTAAAGGAATGCCGGTTGCACCTCGAATGCCGCAAAAAAAACACCGAAAGAGATATTATACTGATGCTGTACGTCATGCCCAGAGCGTGCGCATGCTCGCGACGGACGGTCTGTGCGTTCTACATGTGAGCAACGGACATAGACACGTGTCGGCCGACAAAAGATCAGCAGGCCGTGCGGCACACAACTCGCTACCTTGTTTCAAGATCAACTTGCAATTCGCACCATCGTGAGACTAGCCACGAGAGCGTACTGGTGCAACGGCATTCAAGGCAGAACACCAGACCCGGAAATCAGAAACATTTGGTACCTTACAAGCTTGATTTCCAACAAAGAGCTTGTAAACTGGAACGCCACTCACCGCAGGCACACGGGGGTATCTCTTCACGAGGCGGATCGGAAGCGGACCAGAGGGGTTCTCCTCCGTACGCATAGCGTACTACTTGCTGGGGGGAACGGGCGACCCTATCGGCGAACCGCATAACGGCCTTCGCCCTGGGAAACGTAAGGTTCGCAAAGAAAAAGAGAACGTGTAGTGTACATAGTTAGGTCGAGTCCATACACAATTAAATATCCAGCTCTGGAATGCGCGAAAGAGATGGCCGAGGGATCTCTTGCCAATAGTCTATGCAGGATTATTCTAGTAAGCAAATATACTGGATACAGTATAGAAATGACTAAGTCGGGGCGGAGGTTAGGGTTAGGGCCTGCGTGCCCCCCCCCCGGTCATTGTTCGTAAAAAGTAATAAACTTCCATTATTTGCGTAGGCAGTCCGCTCTTGACATCGACGCCAACCGAGCACGTCCCTCAGCAAAAAACTTTCAGACGTACAGCAGTGTGTGACATTCACAGCACGATGTACAACGCACAATTTGACCAAGCACATAATCGTAAACCCTACCACAAGTCAAGCACCCTGTATCACCTCCGGCACGCGGCAAGCGTCTCACCTCGCAGGCGTACGCTCATACTTCTCCCCAACACTGGCCACCGCTTTCCCCTCCTTTCCTCCGTGTTCACTGCTGAGCCCCCCAGCATCCTTCAGGCCAAGGGCATGATCAAGCGCCGCGACAAGCCCACGGTCCTCCTCTTGCTCCCTATACCGCCGGAGTCTATTCTCCATGTCCTTGTCGTCTGTTCGGGAACTTTCTGCTCCCCACGGCTCGGGGACAAAGCTGACAGTCTTTGCTGGGAAACAAGGCCGCCCTCCCCAGTCCCCGCCTTCTGCCGCGACGGTGTCTGATTTGGAACTCTCCGCTGCGCTCTTCTTTTGGCTGCCGCTGCCACTACTGCTGTGGTTAGGTCCTAACTCTGCTAAAGAGCTACATGTGTCGCCACCCGTTGAAGACCTTTTCTCTGCTGCTGCTGCTGATGCCCGGTCTCCTTGGCAAGTCGACGACTGCTTCTTCTCTTGTTTGTCGAGCAAGGCATCGATGTCCGCCGTTGCAATACCCCCAACGCCTTCGGTGTCAACTCCCGCCCCCCAATCGCTCGTCTCGGCACCCCACCCTTCGCCGTCGGAAGCGGGGGCGTCCCACGACACGTCGCTTGCTCCCCATGGATCCGTCGCGTGCGCTGCTGGCTGCGTTGAAGTCGGAGGCGTTGGTGGTGCCACATTCGTCGTGCCCGCAACAGCACTAACCGCTGATGCGGCAGTGGGGTCGCTGTCGTCTTGTGCGGGCTCGACAGGCTGTGGAGCTTGTGTGCGTACCACCCGCCACCCTTCGGGTCGCAGGGAGCAAGCCGCCCGGTTGCACCCGAAGAGGCACAGTGATCTCTCCACGTGGGTCGGGGCATAGATCTGTCCGGCCACGGCAGGCAGGGCAGGGCACGCGCGATCACCAAACGCCGATCGGTCTTTGGTGCAACAAACGGCTGTTCTCGTGTGTTACCTTTGCCAGCTGAATTTCACTGCTGTTGCGTTTCGTGATGTTGGGATCCGTACCGAATGGGGTTCATGTGTGTGTGCGCTAATTGTTTCACACGGAGGGCTTACTTACTGTGGTGGGAACGCAGGGACATTGCTGATCTGTTGGGGTGGGCGAGGACGAACGTGGCGTGCGTACTCCGGTGCAGGGAAAATGCTGGGTTGATCGAACAACCTACCGAAGTAAACCAGCGGGCTCTCACTCACGGCATCGAATCGGTGGCAGCAAATAATCAAATCATGGGTATGCGCAAACCGCCCGCCCACCTCTGAACAGAGTGCACTTGGTGATGATACCAACCCCTCACCTGTGTGACGAGATACAACCATCTACCACAGAGGCCGCACACGAGGTCGCCAACTTTGACGGGAGCCTCTCCGAACCATGCCTGTAGAAGAAGTAGAGCAGGACGACGGTTACGTACGGTATACCGGCAGCATTGATTGCTGTCCAGCGTGAGGTGACACTTCACCCGTCAACAACCAAGACTGTAACATGTTCGACAGGCGTGCAGTACATCGCGGGGGGAAGTGCGCTGGGAAAACACGGCATATTTATTGTATGAGACTTCCAATCAATTGCTTCGAGAGCCGCAAACAATTACGGCACAACCACTAGGCGAAAAATAGAGGCCAATAATGTTGCAAGTGCTCAACAACAAGAACGGCTCTATTTATGTACTGCATTGGGTTTGATGCGGTATGGTGTTGTCAGGTGAAACCATCTTGGGCGTCTGTGGATAATAATTCACTCTGTGTTTTTTCCCTCAAGCCTCAGCCACATGCGCCAACCACGGCATACCACAGCCGCTGCTGCTGCTAGCTGTATTACAACGTGTGACTTCTGAAGGTCAACTTGGTCCACTGCTTTCAGCCGCATCACCCACCGGCCAACCTCCGGCTTTGCTCTTGTCCGGCTGCGAGGCTTTGGAGACAGAAAGTGCCTTACCCACGTGCCCCAGCTCTACACAGACTTCTCCATCCTCGCCAGCATACATGCTGCTGCACCAAGCACCGAGAGCCAGGAGCCCAGGTAGCAGGTTGTCCTGGACATGTCCGGTGCGGCGCAATAGTGCGGCGCACGGGGGGGCTACATGGAGTGTATCACACCTGCATACCCTCGTGCGCCGAGTGAAAGACAGATCCGTGCCCAGCAGCATCCCATTCAAACTTGAGACCATCTTCTATGCGAGACACATCTCAACAATACCCGCACAGAAAAGAAAGCAGCTCTCGTGATTCAATCTGAGTCGGTTGCGACGACGTGCGACGCAGCCCGCGGCTTTCGCCTAGAGAGAGAGAGAAGCTGGAAGTGATCGGCAGCTGGACTGCGCAACGCCGCAGACCGCAGACCGGTCTACGATGGCCAGCCTGGCAAAGCCAATGGGCGCTGGCGACACCAAGAAGGTCCGCCGGATGCGCAAGAAGCTGGAGGGTAAAGCCACAGGAGGCTCCATCAACACCGCCGCGCTCCTGAAGCAGTGTAGAGACGCCGGCGTCCACGTGAGGCCGTTGTTGACCCCTCACCTCGAGCGGCACGGTCGTCAACCCACCCTCTCCGCCAAGGAGGCCAGGCAGTTCGTTCTCCACTGCGCCAGCGGATCCCCGGCGCCGAGGGTAGCCGAAATGCGCAACCTCCCTGCTGTTCGTGCAGTGCTGGTTGTCGCGCTGACTGGCGCAGCCACCTCCGCTCCACCGCAACGGAAGGCCGACGGCGAAGACAGCGCCATCGATGCGGCCGAAAGCCTGACAGTCCCGCCATCAGCAGCAACAGCAGCCGCCGTAGCGCCAAACAGCCCCCTGGACGGTTTCACGGAGGAGTTCAAGCGAAAGTTTCGGCTGTGCGCGGGGCTTCGGATAAGCAGTGGCGGCTTCAGCGTGGGGCCGGCGGACGGGGGTGCTGCTGTTCCAAGTGATGGCGGCGACGCGGCCAGCACCGGCGGCAGCGGCGGCGGCGGCGGCGGCGGCGGCGGCGGCGGTTGGCTCAAGTCCTTGGCCGATGCGTTTCTCTACGCACCTCTCGGTGAGGATAGAGAGGCGTGTCCTGCCGGTCCTTTCTCCGGCAGCAAGAAGCGAAAGAACGCCGGGGGCGGTGGTGGGCGGAAGAAAAAAACAAAGGGCGATGCCAAGCGAAGGCGGAGGGAAGCCGAGAATGTACGGCAGCAACGCAGCATGGAAAGCGGCGTCGCAGAGGCAATCGCCCCGCAAGTGAACGGGCCGGGCATCGCCGACGGTAATAGTAGCCAACGGGAAGAGGTGGAAGAGAAAGGCACACAAGGAGGTGATGCGGATGATAGTTTAGCAGCGGCTCCCTCCGGCGGGAAGAGGGAGGGCGTGCAGGAACCGACGGTGACAGCAATGGACACAGCCGCGGAAGCGGAGGATGGCGACAGAGAAGAAGAATCCCATGAGGACAACGAGGAGGTGGCCTCAAGTGGCGACGAGGAGGACGATCGAGTAGAAGAGGGCAGCGACGATCCCCCACTCCCAGCTGTAGAGACCTACATATTATCCGTCGAGAAGCTCAGGGAACACGGGTTCCCGGTATCCTACCCTGCGGAGAAGGAGGAGGAGGTCAACCACACTCCCCTTGACAGGGTCAGCGGTAATGTTGTCCTCCCGACGAAGGAAGAAGCCGAGGGTATCGTAGGCAGGGCCTCGAAGCTGGTAGACCTGGAGGGGCACGTGCAGACACAGCCGTTGTCGGACGCCGGGGTGGCGGAGGAAGGTGAAGCAGCGGCGGGGGCGAGGTTGTTCGGGTTGGACTGCGAGATGTGCGTGACGGGGGCTGGGCAGGAGTTAACGCGGGTCACGCTGGTGGATTCCCAGCACAAGGTAGTGCTTGACGAGCTCGTCAAGCCGGAAAACCACATCGTCGACTACGTTACAAGGTGGGTATATTGGAGCGCGCGCGTAAACTACGTATGCGGCCGGCCCTCCTCTGCCACGCATTTTTGTCGGAAGCAAACACGGTTTCCCCTCTATTTTTTTCACCCTGTGTTGGCAGTTTGCGTTTGCCTTGACCCAAATACCCTGATTTCGCTTCAAACCAGTCTTGCGTGTGCCCCCACACGTACGCAGCAGCGGCGTGCTCCACCTCGACTGTTTCCGGTTTTCGACACATGGTGACGACGATACGTGATTGTTTCCCCGTGCGGCGGCCGCTTCTTCGCTCACCAGATATAGCGGTATCACCCCCCAGCTCCTGGAAAACGTGGACACAAGGCTGCGCCAGGTACAGGCGGCGGTGCTGCGAGTGGTTGGAGTCAGAGACGTCCTGGTGGGGCACTCCCTGGAGAACGACCTCAAGGCCCTCAAGATGGTGCACCTTCGGTGCCTCGACACCTCCCTGCTGTACCCACACCCCAAGAAAGGCCGACGCTCGTCGCTACGCTACCTTGTTTCCATGTGAGTCTCGGTTTCCATGATAGCCAATGTTCTTGGATGTTGGCGATGTTTTGCATTTTGAAGGGTGATTTGGGACGATGCTTCGCGAGCGCCTGCCACACGCGGTTGTGAGCTCGACGAGTTTTGGCATTCGTTGGCTGGGAATGTGCGCAGAATAGTTGCCGTCAACGGTGTCTGCGGACAGGTGCGGTTCGGAAAGTGGACCGCGTGTTCTTGATGTGCGTTGATGTGGTTGAGATACTTGCACAGTTTGGCCGATATCAACTGCCGAAGTCTGTGTTCGTCGGCGCGGTATATGTGGGGTTCGGGGTGGACGTTAGAACGTCCACCCTCTAACGTCCACCCTCCAAAGCAGCGGGAAACAGCTCATTCACGTTTGTGCACACATGGTAGGTGGTCAAAGAGGAGTCATGCGGGTCACGCTACTTCTTCAGCAATCGGAACAGGTTTTGCCATGGAAGAGGAAGATAGGCACGAATTTTATCTGTAGTTGGTTTCGGAAGTCCTCGTCCCCGCTTCTCCTTCTTGTATATGGAAACCCAACGAAACGTTTTGTGCGGTGCCGGCGCCCCAACAAGTCGCATTTCATCTTCTAACGCTACTCTGGCCGTCGTGATGCCAGGTACCTGCAGCGAACAATCCAAGGTTCTGATAAGGGGCACAACAGCGCCGAAGACGCCGTCGCCGCTCTGGAGCTTGCCCAGCTCAAGGTGTCCAGAGGGCCAAACTTTGGCGCAGAGAGGAGCACCGACAGCATTTTCGATAGACTTCAAAGGTGGGGGGTTGTCATTTGTAGAGTCATTGATGGCGACATCCTTTGCGGAAGCGAGTTCCAAGAAAGCGACGACCGCAGCCAGCTGCCCGAGCGCATGTATCACCATTGCCGTGTATCGCTTTGAGATCGCCGCTATTTTTTGTTATTTTCGTACATCTCGGAGTGCACCTCCTTCCTTTTTATGAGGAATACGCGCTCGCAGAAACTCGTGCACGGAATCGTGCCAAACACTCGGACGAGCAGTGCAACGTGCATCGCTGGATCGAAGTCCGACACTCTATTAAGCATTTTTTCGTTTTTCGACCTCCTTTCCTCGTTAATTTTGGCCTTTTCTCAGGTCCCATAAACTCCCTTTGAAGCGCTTATTTCCGACAACTCCCACTGAAACCCATCCAGGAATCACGTGCCAGCGACCATGGTGGCCTCGAGTGAACAGTGCCGCCGGCATATCTCGGGAAGTGCGTCCACGGTTTCGTCCTTTTCGGATGACGGGGTCGTGCAGAGCGTCTTGAAGGAGATCAAAAGGGCCGGGGTGATGCGCCAACGGACGGGAACAAAGGCGCCCCTGGTGAGCATTTCACACCTACGGAGGGTGTAGGCCCTTGTGATGGCCACGCGGGGGAGAGGCTGCTCGTTCGTGCTTGTGGTTAAAGCTCGCGCGTTTCCCTGCACGGTCCCCTGCTTGCTTTTCCTGCTTTTGAGGGCGAGGGTGGTACGTCGCCGACAGAGTTTCTTGTTTTCGGCAATGCTGTCTTCTACTGGTGTATTTTTCGTTGTTTTGGCGAGTATTTCTACGGGTGGGCTTGCCGCTGATAGGTCCGTTTAGTGTATCCGATCGAGCGTCGAGCGGCCTCACCAATTACTCGCGTGTGGCGCGCGGGGTGTCGATGCCGATTTGTTCCGTCGAACTGACCTTTTCGACGCTGAGTAGAAGGCTAAATCGTAAATGGGGCAGACAGCGATGCATCCGCGACGAAGCAACGAAGCGTTGGCTGTGTGTCATTTGTTATCTGTGGCGAACCCCCCCCCAGCAAAACTTGATCGCAGAACTGTTAATCCCAGGCAACATTGACAGCTACATACGTTCGTTCGACAGAGACCAACCAAATCCTCTGCTGTGCACGCCGCCCTCCGTATCCAGTCCGCCCACAGCGACGCCTACCATTGATCGCCATTGTTCGTGAATCCCCCCCGCCCCCGCCCCCGATACTCCCTGGGGCACGTAGGTGTGGGCAGAGCTAGAGGGACCCAACTGCCCCACCGTAAAAGACGTCTGCGCCGCGGCGACGCGGGGGTCGGCGGGCGTCCAAACGTTCCTCGCTGACATGGACGAAGCCGGGCGGGCTGCGGGTCACGAGCAACGGATAGGCCGCCTTTTGGACGAACTCCCCTCCGGGGTGATGGTGCTCGTTGCCTCCCAGGGGGTAAACCCGGAGTTGCCGCGGAAGCTGGACAAGCAGAGGAAGGCATGCGAGGACCGCCGGTGCGCGTCGACGTGGAGCGCCGGGCAGGGCCGGCTGTTGGAAGCGCTGGAGGGTCGGGCGCGGGATGGCTGTGTTTTTGCTGCCGTCACTTGAAATTTTGGGGCCGAGATGTCGTACGTGTACGCGTGTTTCGTGAGTGACTCCCTTGGCGAAATCGATTTGGAGTGGGGGGGGTCATGAACGAGTTACACGGCATAGTGACTGTCGGGAGATTGTGCCTGGCCGCTGTACCGCGAGAAATCACCTGTGAGGCTGCTTTTGTTCTCCGCGGCTTCAATACTGTAAGCGGCGTATGCATACAACGAGGCTGGTGGTTTGGGAAGATTATGTACACTCGGGAGTAAGCTCCAACATGGCGCTATGGCGTTGGTGTTATTTTTCACGCTCACGTTTTTGGTCATTCGTGAATTAAGCGGAGGGAGGATGTTGGACATGTGGATAATGGTCGAAGTGATACCATCCCAAGAATCCATTTTTGTGAAGGAAGGTGTTTGACGTGGCTTACATATCTCATCCAACCGCTCAACATTCAGCCCATCCATGACACAATGGGCGTTACCACGGGAACGACGGGGTTCACTATTAAGTGTTTGGGAAGTCCGTAGCGGTGCAGCGAATAATTCTTCAAACGTACAAAGGAGTACTGACTAGAGAGCACCGGTAGGGAGTGTGCTAGTGTGAGAGCAATTTCGTCCCACTCAAGAGGAATACTGCCGATTCGATACTTCCTTGAGGTCAAGTGTCTTTCGATTCGTCAGGAGATTTTCATGTCACATGGGCCAACGGTCGTTGCGTCGCTCCGCAACGAAGTCTTTTTAGTCGCCGCTCACATTGCGTCCATGTCACTCATACGAGCGTGCGAAGGAGTTCATGTGCAGCAAAGACGCTCGCACGTGCGACGCAATCGAAGAGCTCGTGCACGAAAACGACAGCTGCGATGCTCTTTTGATTCATAGTTCTAAGGATGCATACAGTACCCGCCGCCCTCAAAGCAACCAGCTACCAGTAGGGGCCATGTGAAACCGCCCATGGCCACGGTGACCAACGTGTGTCCCGTGTATTCTGGACGTGACAGTTACACCAAGCGGCATATTTTTGGAACGCGTTAGCAGGGGTCACACACAGCAAACGGTCACCATTGAACCCTACAGACGAAAAAAAATGTGTTGTGCCAGGGGAGTCAGGGGGAAGGCCACGCCGAGATGTTGATGGAAAAGAGCCGTTCAATTTCACGCCGCATCAAGACATACTAGCACACTTGCTCCGCTACAGGAGCATGGCACAAGCACGATTTGCCTGCTCTTCACCCAAAACGCACCAAAAACACAACATCCACCTAACTTCTTTCCGCCTTCGTCTTTCACGAGCGAGCAACATCCCAAGTCGCATCGAAAATAGGGCAATGCCTAATTCAGCCGCCGCCGTCAGCTAGGTTTCTCACTGAAGCGGAAAGATCCTGCCAACCAGTGAGGTAGCATACGACAGTTCTACAACGCTTGCTCGGATAGTCCGGCACTGAAAAATCGACCCGGCGGTTTTCCATCCACACTACAGTAGCCACCAACAGAGCAATAATAATTTACCATGATACCGCGGTTGTCAGTCAACACTAATATTCTCGCACCCCATTTGAGCGGGATACGTTTTTGGGCGGCCTCTTTCGAGGCTGAAATAGCAGCAAACGGCATCAATATACATGTCCATGTCTTACACCTTGCACAACATCCGAATACAAACGAGAGACACGATCCTACCCACGGCGGAGAGTTGGGCCACTCAGCGCAAGATGGGTGCCAAGTGTCAAGTCCCTCAAGAACACCAACACCCCAAAGACGCAAAGAATAACTAGTAACACAACACCTACCAGGACCCAACATTTCAATCGAGCGGAAGCAGGCTCCCAACTTGCACGCACTACACCATCAGCAGCGCTTCTTGTTGGTGTAAACTGACTGCGCTTCGAGCTTCCCCATCTTGCCCCCGTTGAACACATAGGGATCTCTGTCGAAAAACAGGCGCGTGAGGTAAAGCGTGAAGGCCACCAACGCGGCTCCCATGGCCCCGAGTACGATCAGCGGCAAGTGCGAATCGGGTTCCGCTCCGGAGCACTCCAAGATCTTATCACGAGCCGCAGTTGCGATTCCCTCCGCGAAAGCCATGAAACCGCTAGTTTCCCCGCCAGTCGATGCATTGACTCCATGCAAGCCTGACCGCGTTTCGATCAAATGTTTGGGAAGTGATGACACGGGGATGTATATATTATGGTGTGCAGGTGACCGAGTCTTTATGTACCGATCGCCGTGTTGCTTTCGGATCAATGCACCCCGACCAGTGTTAGCAAATAATTGCATCGCTAGCTACAAGAACGTTTGGCGTATACGAAAGGGAGGGAGGGAGGGAGGGAGGGAGGGATGGAGGGAGAGAGAGCGAGGCTTGAGTGATGGCACCAGAGCACGCTTTTTAGGTGCATAGTAGATATGCGGCAGCAAAACTCTGAAGCACACTGCTGTTGCTGCGAACTACCGCGTTGTCTTCGAAATTGAAAGGTTACTGCCACTAACTGCCACAAACAGCTCAGCACCGACCCTTGGCAATCAGCACCAGCTGCTGGACTCACCCGCGAGGAATGTGGCGATGAGGCAAGCTACCATCACGGCGGCGGATTCACATCGTCGTGCCATTGTGGTTGTTATCCTCCGCTTCTTGATCGATCACGGCAAAATGGCAGCCCCTCGTCACGTCAACACAAAGCCGCCTGATGCAAAGCAGAGCGCGAAGCAGGGACGGCGAGAAGAAACCGGCGTGTTTCCGGGCGTTCTAGGTGCGAGGCAAGGAAGATAGGAGTGCAGGAGAGGGGACAGAGGGGATGCTTGCGTGCAGTGCACGGGCGAGAAGGTCAGGAGTCAGGAGGAGAGCAGACCAAGCAAAAAAAACGCGTGTGGGGGGGGATGGAAATGACAGTCCGGCAAAGTCGGGACTGCTGTAGCTAAGATTACCTTCGTACGTGTCGGCCACAGCATCGCATGATCACAGAGGAGGTATAGGGAGAGCTACCTATGAACTCACGCTCCGTCTTTGAACGCTCGGTGGCATCCTTTGCTTCCCTCTCGAGGGCGCCTCACCCAGCGTGGCTCGCAACAACACCCGGCAGCAGCAGCAGCAGCAGCAGCTTCAACAAGAAACTCGACAACGCACCCCTTCGCAGCAAGGCCACGCTCGCGTTTCAAGCACAGCCTCGCCCTCTAGCCCTCTACTCGCTCCCTCTCGGCCCTTCCAGACGAATCAGCACTACACGCAGAGCCATGTCGGAGGCAGAGTTAAAATCAGAGCCAAAGGCGACCGGTGCATCACCCATCGCTGACAACTTGGAAGCCGTCCGCAAGCGAGTTGAGGAGGTTACAGGGGAGGGAGAGGCAGGTAAGCCCGTTCCGCGCTTGGTCGCCGTCAGCAAGACGAAGCCTTTGGAGAACCTCCAAGACGCCTACGATGCAGGGCAGCGGATTTTCGGAGAAAACTACGTGAGGAGTTGCGCCCAGGGGTTTGAGAGGTTGCCTGTGTGTTGCCATTCGGTGTTGGCAGAAAATCCGGACAATATGAACGAAACGCACCGCACGCTCGCAGGCACGTACGAGCAACGATTTCCCTACAGTACTCGTAGAGATAGGTACCTCCAATACTGGGCCATGCAAGTTGTTGACACAGGCGTTTATCGACCACGAACCACTACTGTTGCCACTCCTTCTGCCATGCATCCCCTGTGAAACACTATTTATTTCAGGCCCAAGAGTTGATCGACAAGTCGCCACAAATGCCGGACGACGTCGTCTGGCACTTCATCGGACACCTGCAGTCCAACAAGGCCAAGGCTCTAGTGGCAGGGGTGCCTAACCTCGCTGTTCTGGAGACACTCGACACTGTGAAGCTCGCCAACAAGTTACAGGTTGGCTGCGTGTGGGATTGCCGGGAATATGTGCGGACTGGGGCGAAAGAACGAATCGCGCTCATGTTCCCTACTCGAACTAGAGGGTTGCTGTGCATGAAAACGGGTTCCAGATATTTGAAACTGTTCCTGCTGCTCAAGTCTCAAGTACTTCGAGAGTTGGGGTACCTCCTCGGGAACGATGTTACTCTCGCGCAAAAGCGCACCGGAAAACTCGAGCTTGGCAGGGGTCCAAAGGTTTGTCCTTTTGAGCATGGGTTGCGCTGTGGAAGCCGTCTGAATCGCAGCCTTTTCCTGCCCACCAATCAACTTTCCAACCCTCTTCTCTTCCCCCCAAACCCACCCCACCAATCCACAGTCGGCATGCGTTTCGTCGGAAAGGAAGCGACCGCTCGGCGTGTACCTCCAGATCGATACCAGCGGGGAGGACTCCAAAGCAGGCATCTACCACTCCGACCTCGATGCGTGTCTGTCCCTGGCGCGACACCTCAAGGACAATTGCCCGGCGCTCGAGCTGAAGGGGCTCATGACCATCGGGGCGCCGGGGGACATGGAGTGCTTTGATAGGCTGAACGCCTGTCGCGACGCGGTGGCTGGTGGGTTGGGGATGGAGGCGCAAGCTTTGGAGCTCAGCATGGGCATGTCGGGCGACTACGAGGAGGCGATCCGAAGGGGCAGTACCAATGTACGCGTAGGGAGCACGATCTTCGGGGCTAGATTTTACCCGAACAAGACTTGAGGCCGTTGGAGATAGATAGTGCCACACGCTGCAGAGAGTAGTTCAAGCAATGAGCCTAAATAAACGGTTTTGGTTTATTGTTTTGTTTGCGACGTTGGGCCTGCCCATAGAGAAAGAGACGGACTGCCCAACGGCAGGCGTGTTGCGTTAGCTCCCGGGTACCAGGTGTGCGCGTGTACGTACACGGCGCTCATCGAGTCGAAACGTTGGCGATCACAATTGGTTGCGGATCCGGCCATTGGCGTGCTTCGTGTTGATCCATCTTGACCCATCGGTGGGCGGCGAAGATTTTGCGCACTACTTATCGCGTAGAGCGGTATCCTGTCAGCTCGTGCGAGATATGGTTGAGGAACCTCTACTGTAGAAGGAAGGGCCCGGTGAGTCTTTGTTGTTCTAATTAGCATCAAACTCGTTCCTATTTACTCACGCACCCCGTCCGCGCCTACAAAGATGGAGGAGTCGCTCCCTTGAGGCACTTAGTTTGTTAGTAGTTGTCGAAGTCTTCGTCCCTTGAGGCACTTAGTTTGTTAGTAGTTGTCGAAGTCTTCGTCCTCATCGTCCCCCAATATTGCGCAAGCGGCTGGAGTAGCTGTGGGCACCATCCCCCCTAACAAAGCTTGTCGTCGGCCCTCCTCGTCAAGCCCCGCCAGCGCCAACAAATTACTCCCCGCTCCTGCCGTCGAGGCAATTGCGCCACCTGATTCGATAAGATCCGACTCGCCATCCATCCGACTCGCTGCCCCATCCGCAGACTCCAAGTCCCTTCGCTCCTTGCCTTTCTTTGCCCCCCCGACGGCTTTTGCTCCTGCTCGAGCGGAGGTGGCGCCGCCTTTCCGTGTCCGTTTTGCCCCACCGGCACCGAGAGATCCACCGCTATCTTGTGCTGGGCTAAGCACCGGTCGCAAGAAGTCGAATCGTTCTTCCTCAGCTACAGCTTGCCGCCTGTATCGACACCACGGGCCCAGATATGGGGAGAGCGGCAGGGCGGGCGTACTCATATTTTACTTGCCTTCGTTGTTAGACCATTGGACACGCGTCCTCGAGCGGACAGAGCATTCTCCCCACAAGACCAATCACAGATAGACAAATCGTTCGTTCCTGCAGGACTTTGCGGAAGGTGGCTCAAATTTTTTCTGTCGATATCACTTCCCGCCCAGCAGCAGGGGGGGGGTTCGAACGAACTTGCCACGATGCCAGGTACGGTAAGGTTGCGAGTCACCGCCCGGTCCGGAATCATCGCCCGGTCCGGACTCATCGCACAGGGGTGCGATGCAAATTAAATGGCTAAATGATTTGATTTTCCGCACAGGGTCCGGAGTCATCGCACAGGGTGCGGTGACTCGCAACCTTACGGTACCCACGTGACATCGCAGAGGTAGGTACAACCGTAAACACAGAGTCCTAACAAGGTGTACCTTGCCGCGGTGCGTACAAACAACACCAACGATCCCCAGTACGCAAGCGAGACTCGCGTTAGATAAACCCGTAGCACCATTCTTGTATGGTGGACCAACATTTGGCACATACCTACGGACTGCCGTCTGTAAAATGTGGGAGAACATGATTTTCCGGTTGGTTTCCTCGGTTTATCTTGGGCTGTTGGAGACCCAACTGGCGGTCGGAATTTCGCGACGGAAGAATGTGGTGATGTGCGCCGCTCTTGCGTGGTGCAACACACCAACCCCATCTTCCACCGATTTGGTAGCGAAAAGTACAAGAGTTGACTACATATCTCGGCATGCCGTGGCCAGTTGCTCTTGCTCCGTACAACCACGAACTTAGTTCGTCCGAACTCTCAATCATACCGTTGTACTCACACGTCTTCCGGAAGAACCTGCTGCGGGACAGATTTCGACGCATCCGGGCATTTTCTAACTTTTTTGTTGGGCTCGCGGTGCCCCGCTACCCTCGCCCTGCTGACAGAGGCCTCGACCAGATCAGCCAGGAAAGCGTCGGTGCATCTAGCTGTTGCCCGCTCGGAACCCAACAAGTACGCCGCGTGCACGAAAGAGAAAAGTCAAGAGTTGAACGGACTTTCAATAATGATGGTTTAGAGCGATAGCAGAGTGTGGAGCGCTGGGTGAAGCCGGCCAGGCTGCTGCTCTGCCAAGCAAGGATACGTGTATCGCACTGTACCATCAAAACTCTGGTTCAGCAGGTGCAGCAGTACCGGCCGGCGCGACAGGCTCAAAATCTCCCAATAAGCGATAAAAAGTGCAGCAGCCCAGCGGTGGATCATGCAGTACATCAGTGGTAGTCTGCAGTCTATGCACGGTGGTGGCGACGAAATGATAAGAAACTGACGTTTGCCGGCCGGTCCTGCTACTGCCGCTGTAGTCTACTACTGATAAGAAACGGACATTTGCCGGCCGGTACTGCTGGTGGTCTATATTTACTGCTGTGTCTATTCTACGGATGTGTATGTAGTCTACTGCTGACGTTGGAAGAGCGGATCGGGAACATCTACCACTCACGACCATGTTCAGCATCAAGAATAAACATCACCAAAATAGGACGCTTGGCATGCGAACAGCCGTACACCAATGGGGCATGGAGCAACAGCAGCATCACTAGCGTGGTCCTAGGTTACAGAGAGTCAGCGCGAACGGCACCCGCTCGTTCTCACCTATCATGCACGTTGCTTGCACTGACATCTTGCCGATCGACTCGTCGTTCTGCGCTACAGCTTTCACCCTCGACTGCAAAGCGCAACGGGAAACAGCAGTAGGGGCAGCCGCGTTGTCAGCAGATGATCTGGGTCGGTACAGCAAAGCACAGGTCTCTGACATGGGGCCGGGGATACGTCGGCGGAGGGATATCAATATCATCGTGCCATGTGATCACTCTCGCTCTTTCTTACCAATGGAAGAGGTGGTACGGATCCCATTTTTCGGTCGCGCTCTCTCGTCAATTTCAGCGAGCGTGTTGTCTCGCCTGTGGTGGTGTGTGAGCTTGCCATCTCGCCCGTGCGTGGTGATTGTGTGAGCCCCCTGCCTCTCTGCTAACTTGATCCAAAAGCAAAGGGACAAAAAGGGACTGTTCGACTTCCCTACGGAGCCCCCATGACCCCGCCCCCCCTGCCCCCATGACAGAAAACAATTTCGTCTGTCGGGTTCCTGGTGACCGTTTGCTGTCTGCTGTTGTGTGTTTGTGTTTCTTCGGGAAATCACAAGAAACCCACGGGTAGCCTTCCCTACGGCGGCGGGCGCTCAGACCCGAGAGAGATGGGAGAGACTGGGAGGGTACGCGTGGCTGTACGCGTGCGGCCTCTCCTTAGCTTCGAGAAGACAGAGAGGTTAGGAGAGTGCCTGAGCTGCATCCCCCAATCCAAGCAGCTGTGCGTTGGGGACGGCGGGGACAACGGGCGAAATACCTTCACCTTCGACTTCACCTTCCCCAAGAGCTGCGAACAGAGGTCGCTCTACGATGACTGCGTCGCTTCCCTGTTGGAAGGTGGGACAGAAATCGTGTGCACTTTGGGTGTTGGATCAGCCTTTTAAATCGGCCGCCGCGATTTTTCCTCTTGTGTGTTGCACCTGCTGTGGTGTAGCCGCCCTCTCTATCGTCATGTTTTCGGCTGCCTCTGTGCGCAGGTAGCTTGTACGTTGCGCTTGCCTTCGACCCTTTGCTCGTGATGTTTGTCTCGTGCCCTATGCCACTGGGGTCATCACAGTAGGTGTTTTTCATGAGCTTGCGAAGGTGTTCCCGTGGGTAGGTACTGCTATTGCGGGGTTGTAAGAGTCTGTGCTCGCTGTGTGTAAGGGCGAGATACAGGCAGAACAAGCATCTCGCTGCTAATGTCTACACTTTGTTGTACCGGACATGCTGAGCGCGTTCCAACTCGAACCTAGGTTTGTCAATGGGGACGATGCTGTGCGCCATTCATGTGTCCCATCATCTGTTTTACTTGCCAGCAGAGACCATGAGAAACACATCTGAGTGCAGTTGGTTTGATGGCTCCCCACTAATGCTGTACCGCTGTATACCCAACGGGTACGGAGATCGTATATCGTATGATATGCATACCGCATTCAAGAGTAGACGGAGATTGTTCGGCCTTTGCCCTCCTATGTATGTAGCCGTCGTGGCTGTTGATATGCTATGCATACAGTAGTATTTATACGTATGTAGGAGCTCCGCCATCCTTGATCCCTCATTCTTCAAAGGCCGTGCATCTGGCAGTGGACCCCATGCTCGAGTGCAGTTTTTCAGCAAGTCGCTTCCCGCGAGCAAGAAAGTGTTCCTCTTTTCCGGCAATAAATAAATCTAGCTCTTGAATTTTATGAATCCAACCAGCAGATATGATCATGCGCTATGCATATCATCACTCATCGAACCGTCGTCTCGGATAGGTGTCAGGACATTGTCGGGTAGTTATCGCGGCGGAAGCTGTCGCTCCTCTTCCTATACCTGCAATATAACCCTGTTTTCCAGGTTTCAGGTCACGTGTGGACGAGCTAGTCTATTATTACAATAAGAGTCGAAGAGATGACACCCCCGTGTTAGCGTTGTTTTAAAGCGTATTTCTCCGCAACTAGGCGAACACTAACCGATACCTGTTAGGAATGCCCTCGACAAGATGTTTCCAAAACTACCCTTTTCGGCAGCGTTAACCCCCTGGTTGTGGAGAAACACGCTGAAAAAAAACGTTAATTCGGGGGTGCCATCTCTCCGACATTTACGGTGGTGATGTTATTGATGTCCACAGCCCTTCTGCTCATGGCGTGGCTTCTCGGTGGCGTTTCGCCCCACCGTCGAGCACAGTCAACACGGGAATACTTGCAGGACGGCAATTTTGCCGTCGCGCCATCGCAACACCGTGACGGGACCAGGCAGTCGGTGCTCTGACGTCTGTGAACGCTAGAACCAGCCGTCCAAACTCAATTGTGGTCTCATGTCTCTCTCTACATGTGCATTGCAATCACCGTGAGCTTGGGCCGAGAAACACCCCCCCGCTGTTTTGTTGGCAAAACACGAGAGGTGTGCCGCTACTCGGGGTTTCCCAAAAAGTACTGTAGGCGTTTTTTTTCGTCTCTTATGCCTCACCACCCGCACACCCGTCGCTTGACTTGCTGTTCGGTCGCTTCTGGCGCAGCCTTCTTCGAGGGGTTCAATGCCACCATCCTGGCGTACGGTCAGACCGGCTCGGGCAAGACCTACACAATGGGAAGCGCCAGCAGCCTGAGGTAAGCTTTCTCGCGCCCTGGTGTATGTGAGTCCTGTCCGTGGGGGTGCTTAGGCATGAAAGTCTTAACACTAAACCAACTGAACTGCGGGCCGCCAGGTTGTTTGGAGTGCCGTTGTGGGAAATTATTTCTCCCACAGCACCGCGAAAGGCATGTAACCCGTAGAGGCGTGGTGGTACAGTAGCTCTGTGCTTTGTAGATTGCCCACCATGCATGTTTGGACGATTATCACCATCCTGAGTGCAGGAGATACTACTTCCGCTGGGGCTTGCGTTTCACCGTCAGTTGTGTCTTCGTCGTACCTTTCAACGACCTCACCAGGATCGCCGAGGAGGAGCAGGGCATCATCCCTCGCGTCATCACCGGGATGTACGACCTCTTGAGAGAGGCGCTGGAGGAGAGGCCCAACGTCTCGTACTCTGTACGGTGTCAGTTCCTAGAGATCTACGGCGAGGAGATACACGATCTACTAGAGCCGGCCGGTTCCACCGTGACCATTCGCGAAGGGCAGAATGGAGAGGTCAACGTGCACGGAGCTAAGGAGATGCTGGTCAACGGTGCTGAGGTATGTATGGGGCATACAACCTGCGAGGTTTTGTAAGGTAGGAGGCATGCTGGCCTACGCCAGTGGTGCTGTGCGGTTTTTGGTGCAGCAGACAGCAGCTTGTAATAGCTTGGTAGTCGTACATGCCATGCGCGTGTACGGCAGTACGCCAGCCAGGCTTCGTTGCTCTCCTCGGAGTAATCGTGTTACCTGCCGTCCGCGACCAATAATACGATCGGGTTGGTGTCGGCGTTGTGGTCCAGGAAATGGCGATGCTGCTGGAGAGAGGGTCCCTCTGCCGGACCACGGGTTCGACGCTGATGAACGCACACTCCTCGCGATCCCACGCCATCTTCACGGTGCTGTTGGAGCAGCGCATCCGGCCGGAAGGGGAGGCGCCTGTCGCGGATGAGAGGGTGAGCAGGCCTCTACGTGAGGGTTATGCGTTTTCGTGCGTTTCCTTGTCAGGGTTAGTTAGCCTTCATTTCCCCGTCGCCGGGTGCCCCGCTCGGAACGGTTTCACGACATGAACTCAAAGCAATTGCATGCCGAGGAGGGCGTCATATCTTCTTTTTTGTCGATAGCCTGCCGGAAACGTTTGTTACTCCTTTTGTGTTTCGGAGGATGTTTTCGTACGTCTTGGACTGAGGAAAGTGGACTATCGCCTACTTATCCTGCAGGACAAGTCCTAGTAATCGCTCTTTCGTTTGCTTGTTGTTGTGGACTGTTGCTGCTGTTTCTGTTGGAGTGGTAATGTTGGTTGTTGTATTTTCGCTGATGCTGCTGTTGCTGGCGGTGGTGATGGTATTATGATTGTTTTTGTGTCCATTTGCTGCTGTTATTGGCGGTGGTGATTGTGTTGGCACTACCATCTTAGTCGGGACCTCGTCCTGGCCTAAACGTTGCCGGCAGGTGGACCCAGATGACGTGGAGATCCGTCGTTCGAAATTTCACTTCGTTGACCTGGCGGGGTCTGAGAGGGCAAAGAGGACAGGGGCATCCGGTCAGCGTTTCAAAGAGGTAACTGTGTGCGCTATGGCACACATGGGGCGGTGGGTAGTTTGCTCTTTCTTTTCTCTTGTGTTTGACCGAGATGTGCCTGTAATGGGTCCTTTGTGATGCAGCATCGGCGGCCAGGCAGGCATGATACTGAAGTCCCTCCAACTACCATGCACGCCATTTGTATGCGAAGGTGACAGCACGGCACTAGCACTGCTGCCGTGTTTTGATTACTGTAGTAGATTTAGGGTGGGGTAGGCGCCGCTGAAGTCAGCGGTGTGGCAGTCAACGTACAATCAAGCTCAAAACCTGCTCTCTACCCCCCCCCCCCGCCCCGAGAATTTCGCTCCTGTTAGTTGGTGTACACTAAGGGTTTTCCTCCTCTGGTATCGTGCCATCGATTTTTGACTGACATTCCCAGGGTGTGGACATCAACAAGGGGTTGCTGACGCTGGGTAACGTCATCAGCGCCCTAGGCGACGACACCAAGAGAGGGAAGGTCCACGTCCCCTACCGGGACTCGAAGCTGACGCGCATGCTTCAGGACTCGCTGGGCGGCAACAGCCAGACCCTCATGATCTGCTGCGTCTCTCCCTCGGAGTCCAACATGCACGAGACCCTCAGCGCGCTACGGGTGAGCGTCGCCGGGATATTGTAGACGTCCGGGTTAGGGTGGAGACCCGTCCATGTGTGGCCACTTTCGGACAGGAGGCTGTTGAAACTCGCCCGCGGCATGGAAGCCAACTTTGTTTTCAGTTTCTGGTTGGATGGCTGTCCGACCTGTGTTTTAACCTGAGTCAGTAACTTGTATTTCACCGTTTTCTCGGTAGTCACGCGCTACGAGGACACGCCACAATGCCGTTCTTGTTGCTTTTTTTGTCAGCCTTGACTCGTTGTTGTAGTCTCATGTTCGTGCCCTTGACTATCCGTCGTCGTTCACACGCATGCATGCAGTACGCGAACCGCGCCCGCAACATCCAGAACAAGCCGGTGGTAAACCGCGACGCAAACTCGATGGTCATCAACGAGCTGCGGGAGAAGGTGCAAGCCCTCGCGGCGGAGCTCCTGCGGATACGCTCGGGCGGCGGCGGGGGCGGGGAGGGGGGGGGCGGCGGCGACGTGTCCGCGGAGACCCTCCGAGAGCTGGCCGCGGCTTCCACGCCCGCCCGCCAGTCACCGAGACCGCTCGCGCGGGCGAGCTTTAGCCGGTCGGGGCCGCTGGACGCGTCCGCTCCCGTGCAGCGCGAGCTGACCATGCTGCGGGCGCGGGTAGCGGAGGCGGAGGGCGAGGTGGTACGCCTGACGGAAGAGACGAAGCTCGCGCGGAAGCGAGAGAGCGACAAGGACGATGCCCTTGCCGGGGTCCGTGCCGAGCTGGACCTCGCCCACGAGGCCCTGAGAGGGGGAACGGGAACCGACCAGCTCATGCTAGACATCGCCGAGGCGGCGGAGGAGGCGGTCGGGGACGGCGGCGATGCTGCAGCCACCGCCGCTTCGCTTGTCGAAGCCGAGGCCCAGGAGGAGTCCACGGGGGAGGAGAACGTTTCCCCCAAGTCCAGACTGGGTGGAGTCCTGAAGGGATTTTTCTCCGGGTCCGCCGGGTCGACAACGCGCTCCAAGTCACCCGGCAGCAGTAGCAGCAGCGGTGCCCTTGGGGATGGAGGCGGTACCCATAGGAGGCCGGAGGGGGAGGCAAGCGGGCAGGGGCCTTCTTCCGCCGCGGGTGCACCGAGGGGGGCAAAGCCGGAGGCGGCGGCGCGTGAGAGAGCTCTTGCGGTGGTGAAGGACTTCCACCAGCGCATCCAAGCGCTGGAGGGCAAGCTCCACGACTCGGAGAGGCAGAGAGCGGCCCTAGAGCGGCAACTGGTGCAGAGCAGCGGCGGTGGGCCCGGGAGCGGGGTTGGGGGGAGCGGGGCGCCCCTGATGGTCGGGTTGTCGGCGAAGCTTGCGGCGGCGGCGGCCGGGGACACCGGCGAGCTCGGCACCGATGCGGTTGCTGAGGCCAACAAGAGGCGAGAGTCTCTCCGACCTTTTCGTTGACGCTCTGAACCTATTATGGACGGCTGTTTTGTGGTGCTTTTAGTATTTTCAACTACTTTACTGTAACGGCAATTCGTTGTAGCTGCTTGTGCGCTGCAGCCATATGTCGCCGCCTCACCCTGTCAATCGGGTTGTGCGGGGGGTGACGTAGGTGGTTGGTGATTGGAATTGCGGGCTTACGGCGCGTTTGCAAATGGTACCGCAGCAGTGTACATGCTGCGAGAGAGAAGGTGTTGGTACCGCAGTCACGTTATCGGGCAAGCGAAGGGCAGGGGTATAGTACTGCTGTAGTTTTTCGGCTACTCCGCACCCCTCCCGCCGTGAGCATTTCCCACCAACGAGGGGCAGCGATTCGTAATTGTTGCATATCCGTATTTGTAGCATATCCCCGAATTTTTCCCTGGCACCAACTGTAGCTGTACCCGCGCAAGTCTCCTTGGGACGATTCTCGTGGTATATTACCTCTTGCAGCGTTACCCCTGCCCTCTCCACCGCTGAAAAGACTTCAATCACTTTCATCACTTCATCACTTTCGCCCGCACGCGAGGCGCATGCCACCACATTCTTGGACGAATCGTGGAATAGAACAGTCTTTGTGTTTGGATACCTATGCTTTGCACTCCCGCTCACTACCGCTCGATGATTCATGAATCATGTGCTTGGCTCCAGGCTTGCCGAGGAGAAACGACGTAGAGATCAGCTCATCAAGAGGCTCGGCGCTGGAGGCGAGGACGGCGCGGGCGGCGTGAAGGCTGCCGGGGACAGCGGCAGCAAGGCCCACGACGATGAGGAGGACGGTGATGATGAGGATCATGAGGAGGAGGAGGACGAGGAGGAGGAGGAGGAGCAAGGAGAGGAGGATGGCGACGAGGTTGGCGCTGCGGGGATGACGCGCCTGAGCTTAGGGTCCAGCGTCGTAACGGGGCATGAGGAGGAGGTGCGTCCGGCTACGCTCGTGGAGGGTCGGGACTAGCAGAAAACATCCTCGTAGCTCCGGCTTCTCTTGAACTGTATGCATACTATATTGTTATCATGGCCGAGGCAGGGGCTACTACTGCTGCGGTTGCTCCTAAACCCGCGCTTCCCTTTTAAGAAATGTCTGTTAACCCGTATCCGCCATTGTTATACCAGCACACAAACAGCGACGAGTATCTATAAACATTCAACATGATGTCGACGCCGTCTGTTGTTGGAGAGACGCCGCCGCACTTGGCCGAATACATCAGGCTCGTGTCGTTTATGCTGCTGCTGCTGCTTCTGGTCGTGTGGTGCCCGTTGTATTGTTGCAGGAGCGAGCGTTGCGCCAGAGCGAGACCAAGATCAATGCGGAGCTGTCGGACCTGGACAAGAGCATCATTCTCAAGGAGGCCTTGCTAGCGCAGATCAAGGAGGGCCAGGCCTCTTACGAAACCATGCAGCAGGTGACTTTGGTGGCGCCAAAATATTTCATACCTGTAGCTCGCTCGTTTTCTTGGTGGGTGGGGAAAGGCTGCCGTGCATTCCTGCCGCTCGTGTGAAGCGGGACTGCTGGTGTAGTGTGCGGTAGCTCGACCACTCCTGTACCACGTTCCGCATCGCAGGGTGCACTCTGCAGAGAGCTCGTGTAGAGTTACGTGCAATATCCCCGTGTTAAATCAGAAATTTTTGTAGAATAGGGGCTTCCTTCTGTGTCATAGCCAAGGCGTGGGTTAGGGGAAAGTGTGTGGCGCCTTCGCTACCTCTACGTGCCTCGCGTCTGCCCGTTGGGCGTCCTTTATTCATGTCCTCTTTGTGTCTGTGTCGCTGGCACGCCCCTCCCCCCCTTTTCCATTTTTTTTTCATCGTCAGCACTACGAGCACAAATTGCGAGAGATGGACGTGGAGGTCCACAGGCACGAGCAGGAGCACGAGCGGCTGCTGTCTGACTTGGCCAAGCTCGAGAAGCAGACGGAGGTTGCCGTACAGGTGCGATAATCTTTTTCACTCCCAACAGATTTCCCTTGGCAAGCAGTCCCCGCTTCAAAGGACACTGATGGCCTTCCTTCAACAAAGTATGTATCCTTAAATCCGGGAAATATCGTCATGGCGTGTACTCCCCTGTGGTTGGTTCATTCTGCGGAACACTAGCTGTGGTTCTAAAAAAAGTGGCGTCTTGGGGCCCTGTGGGGGAGATGATGGATCAGGGAGGAAAAAGGGGCGGAGCGTGGGTACAAGGATGGGTACGACGGACACAAAGCGATACTGGTATTAAGCAAGGTGGGGAGGTTGACAAGGAAGCTGATGAGGTGGGGGGGGGGGGGGGGGCTGAAAAAAGTTTTGGGACTGGGGGGGGCCCCTGGGCCCCACTGGCGTTTTTTTCACCCCTGAAACAAAAGTTGGGCTTTCCCCCAACCCTGGGTTTTGCCCGCCCACTGCTCTTTTTTTGTTTTTTTTTGGTTTTGGAAAAATATTACCCCAAAGCCCATGCCCGTCGG